CTTTTAGTTCTTAAATTAATTTAACTTAGTTATAGGTAAAGTTAAAACCTAAACGAACAATAGTAATAGTACTATTTTTACTTACTAGTTGGGTTGGTGTGTTGTAAGGTGTTATTCTAGTGCTCTCTCTCTCTCTCTCTCTCTCTCTCTCTCTCTCTCTTCCTCTTTCTGTGTGCAAAGTTTTACTGATTTTCATCTATTCTAAAGTGCTTCCATATCTTAATTAAGATTGAAATCTCAAGGCTTTTGGATAACTTTGAGACCACTAAAGAAATTGAAAACTATCGTGTATGCCATGGGTTAGCACCGAGTTGGCATAACTTCCCAAAATTAGGTACTTTCACTATGTTTGCATTTCCTTGCTACTGTGAAAGGGGGCAAAAGGGGTGCTCCCAAATGTGTAGCAGTGACCAAAATGTCACATGTATGCTTAAAAATCTGAAAAGTTTATATAAGGTTTCAATCCTAGAGTATGAAACTCAATGGTGAAGTTTTCTTTTCTGCTGAAAAATTCTCCAATTGATCATGGACCTCGAGATAAGAAAAAGCTTTCTATGTTCCTCCTACAGCATAGAAGTTCTATTCCGCACGTACCATCCAGCCGTCTATTTTTTATGAAGAGAGCCACTCACCGTTCGATCTTTAGATCCGACGTCTCAAAAGTATTTTGTTTTAAGTTTTTTTAATACAAATTTTCTGAATATGAAATTTGGTATGTGTTATCTTCTCATTGGGGCACACATAAAAAATATTAAAAATATTTTTTCGATAAAAAATAATGATCAAAATACCCTTTGAAACTTTTAGGGGTATTTTGGTCATTTTATTTTATTGAAATAGTTTTTTTTATATTTTTCGTTTATGTGAATATAATAGAGGAATGGGGTTCTAAAATTTGGTGCCAAAACAGTTTATAGAAAAAAAAAATTAAAATAAAATAGTGTAGAGACATGACATTGTGATTGGGGCAAATCTTAGCCCTCTATTAAAAAATAGACGGTGGGATAAGGGGAGGATAGAACTTCTAGAGGAAACATAGAAAGCTTTCCCTTAAAAGAAAAGATTTCAAACTCCTATAAATGATTACAAAGATTTCAAACTCCTATAAATGATTACATCTAGTAATGGATTATATGGATGTGTTCATTCTTATGATATTTAAGTACTATAGATATATTCGATTTACACCATGACCTTTAAATTTGGGTGGAAATAGAGTTTTAAACCATTGTACATATTTTTGGCATGGGAATTGTTACCTTTCAGCTGGTTTGTAACTCGCGCCTATTTGTTTAATTGTTACCTTTCAGCTGCTTTGTAACTGGCGCCTTTTTGTTTAAGTTTGATACTTTGTATAAATGGTACCATTAGAAATTGGGTGCGGTTTGAATAAGGTGTCAAACTTAAATAAAAAAGATATGGATTTAAACGGTCGGAAGATGTAGATTTGGTGGAAATTCGTAGTAGAGTTTAAAAATCTGTTTTCCACCTTTAATTATGAAATTAAAAAGATGGAGAAGATTTAGGTGGTCTATTATATGCAACTTCGACCTAAAACACACCGGGTGAGGAGGGACAATATGGTTCAAGTAGATAGCTTTAAAAAAGCAAGAGGAAGGTTCGGAATGATATAGGTGAAAATAGTGAAAAGAGATATGATGACTTGTGGTTTGTCTGAAGATATTGCTCTTGATAGAGTGGAATGGCCGAACATGATTCTAGTAGCCAACTCTAAATAGTTAGAATAAGATTCAAATGATGATAATGATGAAATATGAAATCAGAAATTCTAAAAATAATGTTGATCGAGCAAATCTATAAACACTTGAAAATCTAGAAAATGAACAATCCAGAAAATGTGATACAAGATGCACTATTTATAGAATGTGAAATACTTTTTTTTTTCATATCCAAATATCTTGAGGTTGAGATAATCATTTGTAGGGCATTCCAACGTCAGAAAAACCTTTTCTAATGTGTTTTTTGGTGTCATACTTGCTATATCATAAGATTGACTTTTTTTCTTTTTCTTTTTTCTTAAAAATTTGGATTCAGAAAAGGATGTGATTTGCATAAGGTGGCAACCTTAAACTATTTGTACCTCCAGTAGACTTATAAGCACATGAAAATCTTGCAAATAGTTGCTTCAGATAATGTGTAAGATTTATTCTTTTAAGGACTTGAAATCTTTTTTTTTCTTTTTTTTTTTCTCCATATGTATACATCTCGATGCGAGATGATCAATTAGATATTTTTTCAAAACAATCTTTTTGGAAGGATTTTAGAGGTTGACCATAATTCTACATTTTAAGGTGTCAACCTTGTATAAACTTTTTTTCTACATAGATATGGCTTATATAATAAGGTGCCAACCTTAAACAGACAAAGAAAGGTACATTTGTAAACCTTGTTAGACATACCTACAATGGCTAAGAAACTATTTTCACTCTTAATTATAAAATTTAAAGCTCAGATAATGGCATACATCGGAAATATTTATAAGCACTTGAAATTTGAGGATCACAATAATGTGTTACAGGATGCATCATTTTTAGTACTCAAAATCTTTATTGTTGTTGTTGTTTTTGTTTTTGTTATTATTATTATTATTATTATTATTACTATTATTATTATTACTATTATTATTATTACTATTATTACTATTATTACTATTATTACTATTATTATTATTACTATTATTATTATTACTATTATTATTATTACTATTATTATTATTATTATTATTATTATTATTATTATTATTATTATTATTATTATTATTATTATTATTATTATTATTATTATTATTATTATTATTATTATTATTATTAT